TCATGCACAGAGATGGTCTGACATAAGACCTTTCAGTGCTGCCGGACAAAGCAGGGTGTCTACTCCTGAAAGTTTCTGAGGGAAGAGGATTGTGCACTATGAGGAAGCTGGCTTAATTAGTGTATGACCTGTGATACATGACGGGTAGGGGAGAGGGCCTGGTTAATATGTGACTCATAGGAATGACCATTGTCGGGTTGTCATGACTGGAAATAGCAGAGGACCTAGGAGTGCTCTTGGTCCTGCTTGTAGACTGCTTTGTACTGGGAGGGCCTAGGTACACCCAACAACAGGTAGCTCCTGCTTTTGAAAGTGAAATCACCTCTTTTCTTTTTCTTTCCATAATAGCCAATTCTTTCAGTGTTTTCAAAATTGGATGGATTGTTTAGGAATCAGTCAATGAGGCAACAGATGATTAGATGGCTGCGTTAGCAGGGTGAGGGTTGTTAGATAAAAAGGTGGCAGGGGTCGGGATTGCCACAAAACAGAAATGGAGAGGACTCTGACAAAGCAAGAGTTTAATGGGTTGGCTCTGTCTCAACTCAGGAGCAAGAACTAGCAAATCTAAATGGCTGTGGGGATGGGGGGGTAGCTTATAAAGGGAAAAAATGCAGAAAAAGAGTATTTTTCTGCTGTTTGAGGCTGTTCAAGAAGGGCACGGGGTCTGTACCTGGTGAAACATTGAGGAAAACATCTACTGTAAAACACACTTTCTACAGTTACAGAGTTCTAAGAACGCACTGCAGCTAAGATCTTGGGAAACCTATTTGTCAGTCTGTGGAACATGCTGTGGTAATCACAATACATTGGGTCACCAATTCCCGGAGCTGCTTCTGTCAGCTTGCAGGTGGCTGGGAGTTGGCTGACTCAGTTCCTCTTAGGGGCTTTATGATTTCTGGGTCTGGGTTCATCTGGATCTGAACCCTATCAAGGGTGATATGTAATGTTGTTCATCCTTCTCAAGTTCAGCTCCAAAGGCTTACATTTCACATGGGGAGGCTGTAGATGGCAGGAAAGCCAAGCAGGGCAAAGGCAATCAGCAGGAAAGGGGCGCTTTGGATAATAATGTCTTATTATGGACCAACTTCCCCTCCATGCTTGGCACCAGCAGGTGCTCCCTGTGGCTGGAATGCTACCGTTCTTGGAACAAGTCTAACACACGGAACTTGCTGGCTCCACTTTACAAGTGGAGAAAGAGTGTGTTTAGGCTTAGAATCCTAAACAATGGCAAAACTGGATACAAATTCATTTCAGTCTGATTAGCAAATGTATCCCATTTCTAGGCTCAGAAGAAACATAATGGAACTCATCTACGGAATTAAAAGGCATTCTCTAGCACTTAATCCACCAGCAGCATTCAGGTTCAGAATGAGCTGTGGCAGCTTCACCTCAGAATGCCATAACATAAACTTTTCTTTGGACACAACTAAGCCAAAATGTCAGAATGCACCCTCTTTGGGAGAAAAGAAAATGAAACATTTATTTACTTTGTTCTGAAGGTAGAGAGTTCAAGATGATCACAGTTTAAATCAATCATATAGAACATGTACATTTTAAAGATATTAACATAAACAGATTAATACAAACCTTTTAGAAAAATAAACTTATATGTTTATTATTGTTATTATTATTAACAACTTGGGATATACCATTTCAGGAAAACATTCAAAGGCACAGTATAGAATATTTCCTGTCTCAGTATCTTTGCTCCTGTTCCTGAAGGCCTCCACCATGAGTTCACACTGTGTGTGTGGGGTGTGTGTGTGTGTGTGTGTGTGTGTGTGTGTGTGTGTACAGAAAGAGAGAGACAGAAAGAGAGAGAGAGACAGAGAGAGATCTGTAGTCCCCCCTAGCCTAGAACTTACTATGCATTGCTATGTAGACCAGGCTGGACTTGATCTCACAGAGGTCTTGCCTCTGCCTCCTGAATGCTTGAATTAAAGGACACCACACCTGGCCCGAGGCTCTATATTTTGAAAGAATTGTTGAATAAAACCAGAGCAATAAAATGCCTTTCAAACACCAGAATTCAAAAGTAAAAGGCCTTCATGTCGTGATGACACACGATGTATTTAATGACACAGTGACACACGATGTATTTAATGACACAATGACACACGATTTACAGGGATTATTTCACCAAAATGCTTATATGATGCCTAGAATGACAATTTAGTTTTCTTGTTCACCTGGCAAGATTATTGAGTTCCTCTTTCATAAATAAAGAGATCTGGGGATCATGGTCAATGGTATGTTAATGGCTGCTGATATTTTTATGTGTTGAGAGCATGTTATAACTCTATTTTTTGCCTGTTTACATTCACTGTGTTTCATTTAATACCATTCCTTGAAGCATATATTAATATCTAAGCTTATAGATAAATAAATGAGTCTCTAAATAAGTGAAATAAGCTGCTAGTATTCACACAGGTAAGAAACAGAGCCAGGAATCAAACAGCCCTTCTCCTCTAAGGGCTGAGCTCTTAACCACCTCATTGTGCAACCAGAACAGCAGAGTTGAAGTCAGACAACTTTGCTTTTATTCTTAACACAGTTTTTAGGCTAGTGAAGCAACTACTGACCAAGGTCCAGGCTCCTCACAGGTCACAAAGTAAGGGAAGCAGACCAGCTTTGTGGTCACAACAGAACTGAGGGCACTTACAAGGCTCGGTCCTCTGTAGCCCTCTCTAGCTGCAATATGAGAGGGTCTGGGGACCTTCATCATTTCTCCAGTGTATTGAGCCTCAGTCATAATGATACAGAAGTGGTTCAGAAACATTCAGAAAACAGAAGGAAACCAAATTTTGGTGGTCTGAATGAAAACGTCCCACATAGGCTCCAAGTATTTGGATATTTTGTCCCCAGATGATGGTGCTGTTTGGGAGGTCTTAGAAGGTATGGCTATCCTAGAGAAGCACATCACTGGGGGTGGGCTTAGAGAGTCCTTAAGCCTTGCCAGATCTCTGGTTGCTCTCTTGTTTCCTGTGCCTGCTGGAAGATGAAGAGCTTAGCTTCTGCTCCTCTTCCAGCCACCTCTGCTACCATGCCTCCCTGCCATGATGGACTGTAATTCCCCTGGAACCATAAAGTCAAGTAAATTCTTCCTTTTATAAATTGCTTCGGTCATTGTTTCTATCACAGCAACAGAAAAGTGACTAATACATGAATTATTGGTCTTCTGAGTATGTGGATGTGAATATTCCCATCTTACCTAAGAAAACAGCTGTTTACTCCCCAAAAGGACACAACTGACTGGAGAGACTAAGATCAATACATACAAACCAGAGTGCATTGTCTAAAAGTCCCTGGGTGATACCGTCAAAGGTTCTGCACTGGTTCATGCTGACTTTAACGCTAACCTCTCCCCCATCCCTCTCTTTCAACCATCCTTTCACCTCAACTCTCACTTCTTTATAAAGTTCAGACCAAGGTCATGTATTATTATTACTGAGGAGATCTTTGTCTCTGTTGTTTCTTCCTGACTTTTACTTTCTCTCTCCTACCCCTTAACCCCCACCGGTATTGGAGTTAAATTTTTAAAATCATGCTCTTGTGTGAAGATCACTGGTGGCTCCATGGTGACCATGTGACAAACAATGAATTTGGGATAGCATTTGAGTTTCTCAACAAAATTTATTTTGTGATTTTTATCTCTCATTCATTCTTTCAATCTTTTCCTATACAACTGTATATAGCATTATTGGTCAGACTGAATTTCCCTAATTCTAAGAACTTCTTAAGGAATCTTTTTTTGTTTTATCTTAATTCAAAATGTTTCATTCAAATAGAATTTCTTGCTTAGAGTAGTTGAATATTCCCTCATCCTTCAGCGAATAACCACATGCTTCATTCCAAATTGACTCTACCTAAGGTACACTACAATTATTTATGAAACCCATAACACACTTTTATAATGTGCCATAGTATTTGTTTATATGAATGCATATATCTGTTCATTTATTCCTGTCTCCAGAAACTGAGTTCTAGATTCAAAACTTTTTTGTTGCAGTTTTGTTTTTTGGGGTCAGGGTTGCCCTGTAGCCCCAGCTGGCCTAGAACTCACTATGTAGACCAGACTGGCTTCTATCTCACAGAGATCCACCTGCCTCTGCCTCCCAAGTGCTGGAATTAAGGTGTGTGCCACCATGCCTGACTTAGATTCAAAAGTTTGATATCTGTGTATTTTTACTTATGTTCTTGCTCAGTAAAGGCCCAAATAATTAACACATACTGATGAATGAGTAAAACCAAAGCTAATAAGCCACATTTAAGCAAGATTCATAGTGAGCAGATTAAAGATAACATTATGGAGACTTTACTGTATGGTATTGATTGAACTAATTAACCAAACTATGGGGAACAATGGTGATAACAAAATGATTAAGGATAGTAAGGATATTAAATTGTCCAGAATATTAAAGCAACAATTTCCAGGTGTAACAGTTTGATGATAAGGCAAGGATCACAGTTTTTACAAACATTCAATTGTCATATCGTAGCCAAATCAAAGTGATGCCTGGAATCCACCTGGGAAAGCAGCCCATCAGTTCTCCCTGTCTAGGGATCTGTTCCACAAAATCCAACTGATTTAATTTGCCCCTTTTTCCCAAAAAATGCTGTAAATCATATTTTTGAACTCAAAAGCAGAAGTTTGGACAACCCTAAATAATACAGTCCTATAGATTTAGAATTATTTTTGCATATATATGGGTTCATCTTTTCTTTTCTTCTTGCTGTCGTAGGAAGGATCTTAGTCACAGAGGTGGTGACACAGAAATACAGTCGATTCTTTAGGCCACCTTTTCTCAGCACAGACCTTAGAGGCCAGCAGGTGATCATATGCACATGGCCTGCCAATGAGAAAGTTGGAACCCCTTGGTCTTGTTACAGTACTGAGTGGCACCAGGTCAGTCTTCTTGGTCTTCATTCCAGGATAGCTCTGTTGTCCTAGCAAGTACCTTTGCTCTAAAACTCACTCACAATTCCTTCAATCCTTGCAGTTGGCTGATGACTGGCTCATGGGTATTTTCACTACCATAGGCTCCAGGACTTCGGCCCTGTTGTTCATCCTTTTTCTTGCTGTTGTCACTGCTATTGTTGGCTCCAAAAAGGGAGCAACTCAAGGGACCTACAGCCCCAGCCATCAGGAGAAGGCTGGCCCTCGAGTGGAGCTGTGGAGTAGGATGCTGCCGCCAGCACTAGAGAGACTCATTTAGGAGCCTGCTACCCCACTGAGAAAGGAGCAGTGTGTGCTGAACACCCTGATTGTGCTTGAGTGAATGGTTTACATCACTAATTTACAAATGGAATTACACTGGAGCTGTTGGAAGGATTTCTGTGACCACCTTAAAGATAGTCCTAGAAGTTTGACTTGCATCACTGCTTTACTTTATTAGCAAATCACAGAAAGATGTCTCTGTACTATTAATTTCTGTCCCATAATTAGTAAAACCATCTTCCAGACAGAGACCAATATATTTTAGAAAAACTCCAATGACTGTCACTTAAACTCTTTATTGGCTAACCTACAAAAATGTTTAGCAGCCAAGTGCCATTAATTATACAGAAACAAGAAAAAAATAGAACACAATTTTTAATTTTGTCCTTTTTATTTTTGTGGGGAAGGGATTTTTTTTTTTTTTTGAGATAGGATCAGGCTGGCTTCATAATCACTTGGATCCTCCTGCCTCAGCCTCCTGAATGCTAGAATTACATACACATTCCACCGTACCAATTCATTTTCATGTCTTTTATCATGTGGTAAAAGATTCTAATTGGGGACCTGTGGCGATGGCTCACTAGGTAAAGCACTTGCTGGACAAGTGTGAGAAAGGAGTGTGGATCCCCAGTAGCTATATAAATACAAGTGGGTGTGGCCCCTTGCCTGTAATCCTGGAGTTCAGGAGGCAGAAATGCGATGGGATCACTGGATCAAGCTGGCAACTGAACTAGATGTTAACCTCTTGTCTCCAAATGCATGTTCACACATGGGAACATACACACACACACACACACACACACACACACACACACACACACACAGAGTTTGGCCCAACCATAAAAACGAAGTTAAAATATGATTCTCCTTTCTGAACTTGGATTTTGTTGTTGTTGTTTGGTTGGTTGGTTGTTCAGTTGGTTGATTTTGAGGGTTTTTTTTTTTTTTTTTGGTCTTTTTGAGATTTTTGTGTGATATTACATGTGATGAAAGTAACATTTAGGAACAAAAAACACATGAAGAATTAGATCTTTGCTGGGCATGGTGATGCATACCTTTAATCCCAGCACTCCAGAGGCAGTTGGATCTCTGTGAGTTCAAGGTCAGCCTGGTCTACATACTGAGTTCCAGGCCAGCTGAGGCTAGAGGGAGACTCTGTCTCAAAAAAAAAAAAAAAAAAAAAAAAAAAAATAGATCTTTTACCTTAGTCATTTAGAGTCATTACTCTTTATGAAGATTTTCTTATACTCAAGATGCTTCTTAGAAATTAAGACGAAAACTCATTTTCTCAAGCCTGAAAGAGCAGCTCTTTCCTTCCAGGTGGCTTTTGGTAAGTTGATGTCAGTGACATTGGCCTAAAGGTAAGGACCCCAAAGCGAGATGAGTATGTGTGCAAAGCCAACTATGGGGTATGAAGAGGAAGTATCATATCTTCTATTTACATATTGCCTACACTGCATCTACTGCATTTGAAATGCATTTAGCACTATTACAGCCTAATGCACAGAACAGAAATATATACAAATACATTTTAGATATAAGCTAAAAAATTTAATCATATAACTTAAATCTAGAAGAATCTATCCTTCTCAGATATTATTATTCTAGCACCCCCACCCCTTTATTTTCAAACTATCAGTTTTCCTACTATACTGGACCATTCCCACAATCTCCAAATCAGCTGTCATATGACCTATAATTGAATCTCTCCCATGAGCCATAGCTTCCTCCAAACCCTCCTGTTCCTCTGCCTCCAGTTTCAACCAAGTACCTACAGAAGAGTTACCATATTTCCTGTCTCTTCTTCCTTTTTGTTCCCATCCTTTCTTGAACACAAGCTACTTCCTCTACTCAGTCATGTCCACATCTCCAATGCAGCATCAAGTGTCAGTCCTCAGCTTCTCTGAAACAACTGTCCTACCTCTTAAATCCCAATGTACCCAAGTTTCATGTGGTCCCTTGTTAAATGATCTGTAGCTGATCAAATATCTTAATCAATGGCTTTCTCTCAGTATTCAAGATTGCCTCAAGTGTAAGTTCAAGAAGCAGATGTCTGTATATGGAGTATGCTGCAAGACACATTTATTCTTGCATTCCACTAGAATTGAAACTTCTTAATACAGGGTTTGTATGGAAAGGACAAAAAAGAGCTCTGGCAGAAAGAGAAAAATAGATGAGTTAAAAATACAGAATATGACTACTATCCTCAGGCCTCTTGGGGTAAGTTTATAGCGCAGCTCTCCGAGCCGGGACTCCCTAAGTTCCACTAGAATTGAAACTTCTTAATACAGGGTTTGTATGGAAAGGACAAAAAAGAGCTCTGGCAGAAAGAGAAAAATAGATGAGTTAAAAATACAGAATATGACTACTATCCTCAGGCCTCTTGGGGTAAGTTTATAGCGCAGCTCTCCGAGCCGGGACTCCCTAAACCACATTCACCCTTCCATCCCTCCTGCCGTTCTATACTCCTAGTTTGGGCCCTGCACCATTCCTAGTCTTGGGGCCCCAGACACCTGGGGAACCAATACTGCTTCCTGA